TTTTTAATTATAAATTAAGTCAATCTGTTCTTAAGATATATGCTGTGAGGCGCCGCCTCACTTGCCTCATCTGACGAGCCGCCACTGATAAATATGTTTATTAGTTTTATTAATTAACAAAGCAAAATATATATTAACAATAATATTACAATGACTTTTTAGTAATCATGTATTGAATTCAGGATCCTGAGTGGAGTAAAAACATTATAGTTCCCCAGTTTTAATTTGGTTTTATGATAGTACCTCATTGCGTAAAAGTTAATTTCCTTAACAATAGATTACTACGGCCGGTCCTGGCGGCTTGTTATAAAACTGCGTTCCTTGCCATAAATTAGAAAAATCAGCCGAGAACTCTACCAATCAGCTTATGGTAGAGCAGGCGATAAGGGTTTTACCTGGAAAGTCGCTTCCGTAAATTTTAGTGGCGCTCCTATCGTCAAAGTACTGAACCAACTGCTCAAATTCTGCGAATTGGTACCCATTTTTTTCAATAATTGTTAGTTTTTGTTAAAAACTCTGCTAGCGAATAGATCATTAATTTTCCCCTGATATTCCTGTTAAAATTATTCGACGTATTTTGCATTAATTTGTAGTATATTTTGATTTTAATAAAGACATTATTATTCAAACAAATTGTATCACTAACAAACATTTAATGACTCTGCGGCCTGTAAAAAGTGATGTTTTATCCATGTGCGAATTTTCAAGCGATTCTATGATGGTTATGACTCAAAAAACTTGAAAAGAAAACATACAATGGTGCTTTTTTTACGATATTTCTCAGCCATATTTTTTTAGTTGATTGAACTGGTCTCTGCGTTCTAGAATATGAAAAAAGCTGCAGTTCGATGTATGATACATCTATATTAATATCATTTTTTCATACAAAAAACCAAAAAAATGTTATACCTCGTCTAGCGAGTCCCCTGAAGGACAAGGGATTAATTTAAGTTCAACAAGGTGAGTCATCAGGATCTGACAGCGGACTGTCAGTCAGTAGCGTAACATGCACACTTCAGAAGGGGGTGGTTTTTAAATTTATAAATCGCAAACATAAACTTAAGTGAACTGGTCAATACGCTGGCACGAATGCGAATGAATCTATTAGGCATTAATCTAAACAGATGTAGGTACCCATCGCAGACAGAAAAGTTCACTATGACAGAGAAACGATGACGGGCGCCTCTGAGGGTGCGCCCATTCGAAAATGCTGGATATGTTGCTGATGTTCAGGAAAATTATCACTCTGGAGTTAGGCCGAGGTCCGCTCGCGCCACCCGAACTTTATAAAGCGAAATTAATGAATTAAGATTACATCGTGAATCGAATTCCCTCATCATATACATACATAAAACCATATATCTAATACTTGAGTACTATTAGATACATGTATGCACAAAATACATGTTAGATATGGTTGAAAACACAAAATGTCCTTCGGTACACACGTCGCTTTGAGAGGCGTGTCCGAATATAAACGTTTCAAAATTCAAGTCGTTGAATATATAAAACACAACACAAAATTAGCATAAAATCCGCTTTCCCTCCTCGAATTCACGACGACATTTACATCACTATTTGAGAAAACCATCCGTCTTAGACATTTCACAATTTAAAATATTTCCTATTTCACTTGAATAAAGTTGCTTGTTTCTTCGGTGTCGTACAAGAAAAGTAAAATGTATAATTTCGAGATTGCGTGAAATAAAATAAGTTTTCATAACTGTTGAACTGACTTGTGGGGAAAACTGTGGCGTTCCCATCGGTAAGATTAAGTTTCGTCTAAATAAAGACTATTTTACGAAACTACCAAATCAAAATTAACTTAACCGAGGTAATCTTAAGGCTGGCGTCTGGTTCGGTTTAGCCCTATACTAAATACATTGAAAACATCGTCGCGGTTTCCGGAGTTGCATTTTAAAAATGAGATATATCGCTTTAAAAAAATTATATTTCGAATTAACAAACTTCAGTTCAGGGGACCTCCATATTTATATTGATATCTAGTATGCAGTTTTTACAAAAAAAAATTATAAAGTTGAACAACTTTTACATCACATTTTAACCGGCACATTGATGCATTTTTTGACGAAGTGCTGAAGTTTTTTGCATTCTGAGATAGGAGGTCCCCTGGGGAAAAGTGTCAGCTTTCTTTTGATACCATTTATAATATTAAAAAATCCACGACTGAGGTAAATAACTCGCGAAAAGTCAAAATCTATTGAAACGAGAAATCGGCATTAAACGAGCTGTGATGCGGTAGTAGAATGCAGGTTTACTTAGATTATGACTTGGTTGGAGATTTCAGTATTTTAAAAATGCAATTCCGGAAACTACGACGATGTTTTCAATGTATTTAGTATTGGGCGAAACCGAACCAGACGCCACCCTTAATGCTTACCGCGTCGCTGCACTTACACTGGACAGAACAACAAGTGACGCATTTTAACCAAACAGGTCTGCTTTACTACCAACACCCTCACCAACTTACCATCTACAAATTCCCCAGACCAGCTACCAAACTACCATCAAAGAAACTAAAATTGCACATGATTCCCTATGTTTATTTTCTTACTTCTGGTTCTGGATATTGAAATCTACAAGAAAATGTTTCCAACTAACTTCCAGATATAGCTGATAAATGCCAAAATCACTCTTATTTTATTAAATACTAGCCCCGCCCACCCGTCCTCTATTTTCTTGGAAGGTATGTTGCTTGCCAGAATCAGCGAGTACTAGCTCCGCTCACCCTCCTCCTTTCATTCTAACGACTGTTTAGTATACGATCATTCATTTCATTCAGATCGAATAAATCAATCACTGAAAAGGAGACCGGGTGTGTGGGCGGGGCTAATTATGTTCTTCTGTCGAGTGGGAGTGGAAACTAATAATCCAATCTAGGATGTGAAAAAAAGCGCTAAACGTAGCTTTTTTGGTATCCTATTTGATATGTTCTGGATATCGAAATCTACAAGAAAATGTTTTCAATAAATTTTCGGATATAGTAGTTGAAAAATAGTCGAAAATGACAAAAATGCCAAAATCACTATTATCTTATCAAATGCTAGTACCGCCCACCCACCCTCTATTTTCTTACAGGGTATGTCATCTTCCAAAATCAGTCTTATCTTAGCAAATACTAGCTCCACTCTCCTCCTCTCTTCTCATTCTAACGACTAATTTAATTTCTGATCAGTATAAAATCATTTATTTCATTCAGATCGGATAAAATCAATCACTGAAAAAGAGACCGGGTGGGTGGGTGGGGTTAATTATGTTTTTCTGTGGCGTGGGAGTGAAAACTAATAATAGAATCTTGGATGTGAAAAAAGTAAGAAAAAAAGCGCTAAGCGTAACTATTTTTGTTATCCTATTTGCTATGTTCTGGATATCGAAATCTACAAGAAAGTTTTCAATAAATTTTCGGATATAGTAGTTGAAAAATAGTCGAAAATGACAAAAATGCCAAAATCACTCTTATCTTATCTAGCTATACTAGCCCCGCCCACCCGCCCTCTATTTTCTTCGCATTATGTTAAGTGTTTTCTTTTTTTATGAATAAGTAGGTAGTACCGTAAGAACTACTTAGTCGATTAAATTAAAAGGTTATCCCGAAAAAAAAAGGTTGAAAGTTATTTCGACAGAACTTTCCTCGCACTGAAAGTACAATGAAACATCAATTTTTACTTCCCAAGCGTAAGCTAAGGAAGTATAGTTTTCGAGTCCATTGAACGAATGGCCACTTTTATATTTTTTCGACGTTTCATGACCCCTACAGTACAAAAAAGTGGTCTCCCGTTTCCGTCTGTCTGGTGCCTGTATCCACTTTTATTAAACACTTAATCTCCGAAACTGCTGGACCGATTGTTGTCAAATTTTGTATTTATATTAGAAATATGTAGATGATTAAATGCTACCCAAAATTTGGAAAATCATCCCCACCCCTAATTTGATTACGCCATTTCAATGAATGGTATTTTTTCTTTCAGTTTTTTTCGAGAAACGTTCAAATTTGTAGCAAAAACCTTTGCAAGGTATAATAGCGTTTTATTTCTAACACGGTTTGAATATCTCCATGGCGCAGTGGGTGTATCGGAGAGACGGCGACGCTGCGGTAATGCGATTGTGGGTTCGATGCCGACTTGGTCGTTTGATTTTTTCTTTAATTGCACTGGTATAACGCTGTAACTACTTTTCTTTGGTACTGTGATTAGAATTATCCATGTTGACGATGTCATTACAAATTTTTTATTGGTCAAATTAAGAAGGAGTCACACCATTTTCTCGAAAATGTAATATAATAATGATAAAATAAGAATTTTAATAATATCCAGGACATTGTTCGATTGTGGTTTAATTAATAATTTTAGTCCTGTTTGAGAAGAGAGAGAAGTGACATTCTTTCGACGAATAAACATAAATAATTAACACTTGAGCTTCTGACTGCTATTACCTAGTGCTGAAGGAAAAGGGGTGTTATTTATGCCTTCGACCAATTTTTTGTTGATCAAATTAAGAACCTCAATTTTTAGCTTTGCTTATACAGGGTCACTCAACAAAATTAATGAATTAGTCAGTCATCGAATCAACGAGCAAATTGAAACAAAAAAACTATCAGAACGAAATTCACTAAAATGGCAACGCTGTTTAGTTAGTGACTTTTGAGATTGACATTAATGTGCTTTGATACTTTCCTGACTCTACACTAAAGTTCGATTAGTAAAGTAGCCGTCAAGTTAAATTAAAATTCGTAGACGTTTGCCACTCACCTTTAATATGACATTTACTACCAGCCTCTTTAATAACACACCTTATACTAACGTAAAATGTCAGTTTAGTTATAAATCCTGTTTTGACGAGGCGGCAAAACTCCATGAGCACTTACCTGTAAGTATGACTTCACGATTGTCCAATCATGGTGCATTTTAATTAAAAACTAGTATAATACATATCTAGGAAGATATCAGAGGTGGTGTAAGGGGTGAATAAATAAAACGAACTTTACATTTAAGACAACCTTTATTACTGAATGCATACTGGTCAATTGGGTTACAAGTACAGAGCATAACAACTTGTAGTTGTTTAAAAGCACTTACATAACCTAACTTAACCTAGGTGCCCTGCTGCACTGCATAGTTGTGGTAGACACATGATTGGACTCGTATAGGCATCAAAATAACCATCAAAATTTAGAATAATACATCATAAATAAACAGTGCAGTCGGGTTTGACTTTTTTTGTCGTTTTAGTAACGTTTATACAGCTTTTTTTTCAAATTTTTGTTCCTACAACATACAATTGAGTTCTTATTAAATAATTATCTTATTGAAATGTATTATACGTTATTATTTGGGGGTGTAGTACACATCAGATTTGATTTTCTTAATTTTGTCTAAGTTTATTTGATATCACCGTGACATTTTGGCCTGGTCCCTGAGTTTACCCTCCCAATATCGGACATGAAAGCTAATGTCGTCGACTTGTTAGAGATTCACACGTTTTTTTTTTCAAATTCCCCTTTTCTACCTGTCTTATGAAGAAAATAAATCAGATCAGACCCAGCCGACCGCACATCTGTAAACTACCGTTGTCCGAATTTTAATGGATAAAAGACCGTTATAAATGTCTGAAAGACGCATTAAGCCTATAGTGTCGATTTGTACCGCGACGATGAGAATGTACATCGTTGATAACGGCCCGCGGGGGGCGCACTGATCGATGCGTGGGTGTTTAAGTTGTTTCGATATACATTGTCATAATGAATTACGTTTTTTGTTTTAAATTTTCTTCAACTACGAACGATAGTGATGTTAGATAAGGTACCTCAGATGCGATAATTTGTATTATAAAATTGTCAGCATATCACATTTTCAAACTGTCAACAGAAAAATAAATTTAAATATTGCCTTATTCGAATAACTACTTTAGTACTAATTACAGCTCTTACAGAACAAAAAATAAATCATCTACTTTAAATAACACAACCATAATAAGGTGCAGGTATACGATTTGTTAAAAAGACTCAGTCGTCGAAGCGAGTCGCTAAAAATTAAAGGAACTCTCTTGCACTCTTGGAAGATTGGAAGGCTTTTATATTTTCAATTAATCTACAAATAACGCCAAATCATAACACGCTTAACGATTGCTATTAGTACTTTGTGATTGTTCAATTATCTCACGAAACTTGCACTACTTTTCAACAACAAACTCAACATTACATAATAAATAATTAATTAAAAAAAATGCTACAAGAATGGAATAACTGTTCAGGCATTATGTTGGACTAGAAGTTTAGAGGAGGGAACTTGTTTAGGCCATTATTTTTCTATTCATTCTTCAAAATCGTCATGTGATGCTATTATATATTTATTTATTTGGTAACGAAAAGTTCAATTTCGACCGAAAAGAGGAAACGACAATGAAAAATCAAAAACTTTCGTCTGATACACAACGTATGCTTTCCGAGATTAACTGTTCTGCTATAGCACTAAGCAACAAGATAAGCAAAACCTACGATACTTACAAATGAACACACTTAAATAGTAGTCTTAACCGATTAACCCATAACCTAACCTAGGAGAGAAAAACGTGGTAGCGGTGAGCCAAAATGGCGCCTCTTCTTCAAAGTCATGCAGTGCGTCCGCGCACCTTTGGTTAGTATTTGAGTATGGAACTTGACGGACCATTCTGGATCACCGGTAACGAGAACTAAACAGAGGAGGCTAGAAAAAGATCGTCGTATTCAACTGATCTGAGGCGTCGGCGTACGAATGGAGTAAATATCAGCGATCGGATTTTTTTCTTTTTTAAAAATATTTATTGTAATTAATACTATATTACCTTAGATATATAATAACACATTTCCTAACCCTATAATTAAGTAATTCATTATACATTATATACTATGAAATTATAACAATTGTACAGTTTCAGCCAATATATACACATTATATATATTGCATTCATTTTTTTTTAAATATAAGTTAATATACACAGCAGGTAAGCGTATACGGTTCGCGGATAGCCCGCGCGACCGCCGTGAGCAAAAGTTTCTAAGCAAAATTTTGGCACGTTTTCAAGTAAAATTTGGGTCTTGTATTCTTTTTGGTTGTCAATCGAGTCGGACGTACGAACAATTTTCATGAAATTTATCTAATTAATTATTTAAATATTATAGAAAACCGAAATAGATTTGTATCGTTATTTATGACCAACGGCTATTGCAAGGGAGATTCATCGAACAAACCCACAAAATAAAGCTGTCAATTAATAACAACAATAAGAGCACCTTTTGAATATGGACCGAGTGTTCTCTCAAAATTCTTTATACTTAACCTGTGCAAGTCTTAAGTTACTTAATATTTCGTTTCGTTAAAGCGATTCCGGAATTTTGATGGCCGGACGATCGCTTTAATCACCTGGTATTCCTACAGTCTTCTGGCCAACGAATGGCTTTAACCCGATACCCTATAACCTATTAATATCCTAAAAAAGTTAGAAACTAGACAGAGAGCACACTTTTGTCATTATTAAGGCAAATCGTTTTTGATTCTTCACAAATCTCGTCTGAAGATTTCTCTTAATCGACCTGAAAACCGACGTTTTTGTTTTTCCGAAATGATAAGAAGCCCGAAACCGTTGAATTTTGGTTGAATTTTTTCGAAAAAAAGGAATGTACGAATAGTTGCTTAATAGTACGATTCTACAGCCTAAGAAAAAACAGTGACGATATTTCTAAACCTGAGAAAGAGGGCCTAACGATCATCTACTACCCCACAAACTACCTACACCTAGCGCACACCAGGCGACTCACCGTCAGGCTGTGCTCGGGAAACCCCTAGTGTCGATTAGTAGCTCAAACACAGCATATGTTACATTATTTAACCTACGTACGAGTAAAACTCTGATTAAATAGGACATACATAAGTTCATTTATCTTTTTACAGTTGGCAGTTCCAGCTAGCTTAATCTCTCACCGAGATCGTCAACTAAATAACAGTCGAAGCAAGCCGCGACCGGCGCAAGCGTCAAAAACAAGAAAAACAACAGAGGAACTCAGGATTTTCGAAAAACGATTGCGCTCGTCGCAGTCCACACCGATATCGATTTGATGCAAACAATCAAAAAACACATTATGTAACTTCAACTTCATTTCATTAGTAGGGCTAAGTTTTTACTATCTGTGAATTTGTACAGTGGGGCTATGACCTTGAAATTGAAATATACAATCATCGAATCGCCCTTTATTTATATTATTAAAACCCTGTCGAAAAGTCAGGCCCAAGATCAATTGCACATTAAATAGGCACTTGTTATTTCTTCTTTGTGCTAACACTAAATTTGGCTCTATCAAGTTAAACGTAAAACACGAAATCCGGAAAATGGCCGTGAACAGGGTCAAATTCGGGTCTAGTCACCTAACACGAAATCATAAAAATAATAAAAAGCATTAAAACACTACGACACTATCACAACCTTAGCTGGAAGATTTTGGCGGAAATTCTAGACGAAAGAAATTTAAAAAACAAACAAAAAAAATTGATCATATATGACACTTTAACGTCTTTGGTATTTAGTGTAAAAAATAATCAACGGGATGGCAAGATGCGTGCAGCAAAGTCAAAAAACAAACAAACAAAAAATACGAGTATCCGATTCAAAGAGACTGCACATAAATAAAAATATATCCACTAGAAACGAAAGCGTATGGTAAAAATAATACTTGGAAAAAGGAAAAGTATTGCACGTTGTGACGTCACAACTATAATGTAATACTAAGTTATTGACTAAATGCTGCCTTCTCTACGCTTAAGTAACGAGTTTTAAGTAAAACTAAACTTATTCTATACCCACCAACCATTACGACTTAGATCAGACATTTAATTGTTAATATTTTTTTTAATTCGACCGTCAATATTCACTCCATGTACACCTCGACCTTCCCGAACGTAAACGAAAAAATAACACAACGCAAACCGAACGTCTCTTGGGACAGGAGAAGAAGGTATGATATTATTCAACACAAATCGCCCGAATACCTTTTCGTTCAACTCTTATTTTTAAATATCGAAGCTCAGGTCTGTAAGACATTTATATTAATTTTTTTTTAATGGGAAAAATTCGAGACCGGGCAGGTCACGTGCTCGTCGTGTATAAATAACAATAAGTCAAAGAGGCACATCGTTTGGTATTATCAAATATGGTGAACATTGCAACTATCAAAAACTACAAGCGAAAGCGTGATGAACATTACGTGTGATTCAACAACAAGATACTGGCCGTCTAATTTTTTTTTTATCCAAGTAACCGAATTATTGCCGAACTATTTCTTGTCTTTCAAAAATAACGTCTATGTGAACGAACATCTTTTTTAAAAAAATTTTTGGCAGACTTCGAGTGACCTTGTGAATGTTGCAATTTTACAGAGAGGAATGTCGTCGTCGAAACGAAAAGTCATTACTAACCTCATGAATGTCTCATCACGTTGGCATTTCATTTTAATATGTTATTGATATGGCTCAAATAAACGAAACCGTCGACCGTCATCTGTCGAAGGATAACAATATGTGATAAGACATGTAGAAGGGGCCGCTGCTCCGGCCGGCGGTTCGAGAGATGGCGCTCGAGGCGATAAGAGGGGAAACATTCCAAATTTTGCATCGACACACACAATAAAACTTTGGCATTTTGTAAGTCTTAATAAATACACAATAATAACAAACAGCCACCGTATTCTGGATAAAACGTTACTATAATATATGTTTATATATTGCCAACGCCTCATTTTAATGGATTAGTCAATCCGGGCGGTTCTATACACATGTCTTGGGATTTTTCTCTAATTGAACGTGTCTGGTTACGAACCCCCCGAATCCAGGAATAATTAAGCTCAATAAACATCCTTACAGCTACCGAACACCAAAAAATTTTACCCTACACTAAGGCAGATATGCCGTCTATGTTTTACCATATAATGTTCATATAATATATTCTTTAATTAATTATATATAAGATATATAGTTTCAGTGGCGACAATGATTAAATATATACTTGAAACACAAGTGGCACTTTGATCACAAATACTGTAAACCTAAATCAAATACTATATTTCCGTTCCTTCTACACGTTTTATGTTATTCACTTGTTTTGTGGTATAGCATCAGTTGATTAACTTGTTTTTTTTAATTTTCGGATTGGCGTTTTATCGTTCTCTTGTTTTTTCTTTAAGTAAATCCGTGTCAATTTGGTTGAATTACGTACGTAACCGTTCGTCACGGTTACTCAACAGCCCGAATGGCCACAGGTTAGTAGTAGTTCAATATTATTGTGCAGAACCTATAGTCTACCATATGATCTTAAGCTGAGCTTAACCTACATTCATTTTTTTTTTTGCTTTTTTCCCTTTTTATGTATTAAATAAACAACACTAAAAACTACTTTTCTGAAGGTACACAATATCAGACACAGAAGATTAGGAAAACCGTCCCCGGACCACGTGAACCGGACACAGTTTCGCCTATAATGCACACTCGATATAACGTGGGTAGTTTAAATTAGTAAGTAAATCACAATACGACTCGGGCAATTGCGGGGAGGCAATCGCCTAGTGGTTTTTGCCGTTTTTCAATTTTTAAAACTTATCCCTACTTTATTCAAAAATACCCTATTTAACTGGTTAAATAAAAATAAAACAATTCTCTATAGCTTTTGGTACATTATTATACTATAAGTATTACTTTAGTCTAATTTAGTTGACTTGTACCACCATCATTGCCTTCCTTTTCCGTTACTACTTTGACTTGATTTATGGCATATCAGTTTCAAACGTTCCGCACACCTAGGTAAGCACTTAAATGAACCGATTTTTAATAATCAGGGGGAGATAAAAGGGGGTACATATCCAACGACTGTTGCAAAAAATGTTCCTGTCTGTTAACATTCAGAGTCGGTTGTCAAATATTTATAATACACAACATGAAAGAATACCCTACTACCAAACTCTTAATTCTAATTAATATCGTAATACCTAACTTCTAATACATTCATTATACTAAATTGGCAATAAGATACTAGATTTTTTTTAGAAATTCTATTGGAACTTACAACGTATAGGCTTGTCCGAGAGGTCCAAATAAAGCGTCTTTTCATTTCTCATCAAGTAAAATTAAAGCAAGTGAAATCGCACCTCCCGAAAAGTAGCCCAATTTTGCACCATTTATCTAGTCATTAACCACTTATCAAGTCACCCTGACCCCAGAAAAACAAACTAATAAACGAACCCTGACTCGATATTCCTGCTTTTTAAATTTCCATTAATAATTACGATATGACTTAGTGAAAGGTTGTTTTTAAATACAATAAAACCGGGACAAGACCGACTTGATTAATGATAGATAACCGTTTAAAAGCTAACCGAAGCTTTTAAAACAAGAGCTTTTTGAACAAAACTTTTTTTTGGGTTTTTTCATTATTTTTAAAAATTAAAAAGCCACTTAAGAGTCACAGCACAGTTGTGTACATAAAAAACATATGTTAGTCAATGCATCGAACCTGTAAAGATATCTAAAGTGAACCACTCCGAAACGCCTCGGAACGGACCGAAACGTTCCGGTTTTTGGAGCAATTTAAGTGAAGTATATCAGAGAGATCGTCGGTGGCGCCCTCTAGCCGACCCCAAATTTATCACGTCGTCCATATTATCGATTACTAAAAATAAATGCACTTGTCATCATCATTTAAAAGATCTTATGATTTTTCAGTCTTTTCCGTATTCTTTTAATTAATTACTTTCACTAGAGCTCAGTTAAGGTAACATTGCTGGACAATATATAAATAAATTAAATAAGTCGGACTAGAATGCGAGTCGAAATTTTGATGGCGCGGGGTTCGTAGTGGCGTCGGGCGAGGGCGCCACCAAACGCGATCTCAAGACTCAGAATGGCTCATCCGTCACCATTCATACTGTTAGCTATAGATGAATCAATATCTCATGAACACCACGTTAACACAATGTGATTGAACATGTTTCGTGTGGTGCCGTTCGGGCACGCCCACTCATCAGGGTGTAGGTGGTGGGGGGAGTCGAGCGAGCGAGCCGTCCGGTTACCGAGCAGAAACAAAAAAATCACAGTAAATGGACTAATATTACAACATATCCAAGTCTATGGCTAACATACATACAGTACACAGAATACAGTAATATATAGGTATATAATAAACTTTTATAATTAGAACGATATATATTATCCGCTATTATTATATTGTGTTTATTACTAAATTTATTTAAGAATACTTATAGCGTGCAGTCTAAGAACTGATTGTGTGGTGTTATTTCAGCTTACGGCCCGCCTTTGGACCGGCTTAATTCATAACAATATTACATAAATGATTAATTTGTATGTGTATTTTGATATAAGGAATTGGAGATCACAGGTTTTGTGGGGTTAACAAATTAACAGCACCTTCTTTACACACATCTTCTCACTCTTTCTTTCCTTACTTGTCCTGTATGTGTTGATATGACGAATTTTTTTTTCGTCTTGCACGGTTTCATGATTAATTGATCGCTAGTAATTAAAGAAGACCTATTATTTAAACAAATGCCACGCGCCGAGACCTGTGTAAAGAACGGACATACCACACTGGGAAACAAACACATACAAACAACTTAGGTACGTTAAATTATTAAAAACAACATTAATATACAATAGTTAATAATAGGAAAAAATATCTAAAGTGAGAGAACAAATGAAATACATACAGTACACCTTAAATAATTCATTTCTTTTTTTTTTTTTTTGTTTTAAATACACGAATAATGAGTTTGGTCGCGTACATATATATTATATTTTTTTAATATATAATTAACCTTGCTCGGGACTAGTTCGGGTTACGTCTAAAATGAATGTCACATTAAGTGCGTTTAGAAACTTGAGCGCCTTCAGTGGAAAACAACAAGAACAACGCCGCTTCACAGTCGCTTTTAATTGGAATCATTTTCATCAAATTTTCGATTAAGTAACAAGTGTTGACAACTTTTCTGATTCGGATTCGTTTTGTTTTTTACTTTAATACTTTATTTGACATTTTTACAGACAAATCTGCGTCACAAATATACACAAATGTGTTTAAATAAATAAATAATATAAATGGCAACTCTTAGAATTTTAAATTAAAACAAAAAAGCATTCACTATTACGACTGGATTGTGTACATCTGTGAAACTTAATTGACAGAAAATATAAAGCAATCTAATAATCCTAAAAACAACAACCGTCGTAAAAATTAAAAATACAATTTACAAATAACAATAAAAAGTTTGGAATAATACAATTTCAATATCCTTCTTACAAAGTCACTCCGTAAAAAGAACTTCTTTTAAAACGTATAATAAAAACTTACATCAGATTTAAAGAATAATCAACACCCAATATAATGTGAGAAGTCAGAATCGTTTCGTTTTTTTTTTTATAAATTACATTGACTCACCTCCGAGGAGGTCGCCGGGAAGAAACGAGTTCAAGCTCGAAGGGGTAGCTCGTGCTGGATCGCTCGTATCCAATGTGGAACTACCCCACAGACTAGCAGATGATTGACTGTTTGTCCAACCCGTGCTCCAGGTGTCGCCTCCTGTGCTGGGTTGCTTGCTGGAGCCCCTCCAGCCGCCGGATGAACTTTGTTGACTTGCAACCTGTTGTAACAGAGCGCTGGCGTCCCACTCCGACGGATTTTCGGCCAGGATCGTTGTGTTGCCGAGCACGCAGTTATTCAAGGTGGTTTGAGCCTGTCATCAAACAGACGAGTTAGTAGATAAGTCAAGATGGCTGCGTCACATCAATGTAACACATATGGTAATTCAGTGGAGCTGGCTGCGCGCGCAACTGTCGCTAAGACTATAATTCTAAAAAAAAAAGCACCTTTCGTTCGACCCACATTAGATTCTTCCATGTTTCTAAGGTAATAAAATAAATGTCGTGTTGTAGATAACTCTGAGATTAAAAATGCAGCACGGTATATTCGCTCTTCACCTTTATTGTTTTTGTTGCAGTTGGTACATCAAAAATGTTAAACATATACTTATATTACTTCAGTTAGTATCTTTTTTGGTATTTTTATTACCGAATTCGTTATTAATTCTAAAAAATCAGTTATTTTCTTAACGTTAATGTTGTTTTTACTTGATCCAACGAGAAAATAAATATCTAGCTTTTACAATAATAATTCAATCTTTGGTCTTCGAGATAAGAAATTAGTTTTAGTAAGCAAGACGGAAAAAAAAACTTCAAAGAAAGCACAAAAATGCACTAGAACACAATGAAGATGATTTAAAAATGATTAACACATGAACACAAACATAGACATTAACATGAACAAGTAACCACTAACATTTTTTTTACTGATTTCCTTTCAACTCAGGGATGATACGTATGTCTTATTTTAGATATAAAATTTATAAACTGCCTTATTTGTGTATATTTCTTCCTTTTTATTTATATTTTGCACTAGTTTGGATTTGGAAAACAATATTTATAAATAAACGCTGGTTTTGTTTTATTAATGAATATTTAAAATGCTATGTTCATGTGATATGTTACCTTAGAATATATAAATAAAAATAGGGTAAAGGTCGATTTATAAATTGACGCTGACGTTGCTGTTCGCCGTTGGGTTTTCAACCAATCACACTGCGGTAGTGTGCAGTGCTGCCAACGTGAAGGAAAATCCCCTGAAGTACGGGGGACATTTTGCTGGTTGACTGCACTAATTCCACGAAAATCAAATTTTGATAGAGATAATGAGGTCCACTAATATTAAGCCATTTAATCACCTGTTCATCGAAATCGTCATATTTTAAATAGCCGCCATCATTTTGTACACTGTAGCTTTCTGTCAGTACTTATGCATTGTTAAAGATACTTAGTTCTCGACGTTTAAATCAACAAGATTTATTCCTATTCGTCTCAAGAACAGATTAGATTATAACTACGTTTTGCCCTTTTTTCTTAATATGTGCAGTCTTCTTTTCACAACAAGAAAAGTAAAACATGTTTAAAATGGTAACTTTTTGTAGGAAAGTATCGATTTTGCAATTAGGCTCCGCTCCTCGGCTTACGACGAATAAAAGAAATCATCAGAATTGAGACAGGGCGGGTGGGCGGGGCTTATATTTTGCCTTTTTTTTTTAAATATACATAGCCATCTTTTCACAACAAGAAACTTGGAACATGATTAAAATGGTACATTCTTCTTATACCAATTTTTCATTTTTAAGTTTTATGTTGTGAAAAGTAGTCTACACATTTGAAAACAAAAAGGCAAAATGTAAACCCGCCCACCCGCCCTATCTCAATTGTGATGATTTTTTTATTCGCCGTGAACCAAGAGGGCGGAGCTTAACTGCAAAATACTTATTTCTTTACAAGGAATTAAAAAAATGTTTTTGAGTATCGTGTTCAAAGAATATTATGTATATTAAGAGGGGAAAAAAATATATAAATCGATCAGGGCAGGTATGGGTGGGGCTTAATCTTTTTTTTAATATACATAGTATTCTTTGAATTACACGATACTCAAAACATGTTTTACATGGTAATTTGTTCTAGAGAAATAATAAGGATTTTGCAATTAAATTCCGCTCCTTTGGCTTTCGACGAATAAAAAAAAAATCATCACAATCGAGATAGGGCGGGTGGGCGGGGCATATATTTTGCCTTTTTTCTAACACACATAGTCGTATTTTCAGAACAAGAAACTGAAAACATGTTTAAAATGGTAAATTCTTACAGATAAATATGAATCTTGCCTCTCAATCTGACAACGAATGAAAAATTCATCACGATTGAGAATTGAGATCGGGGCGGGTATGGATGGGGCCTAATTTTTGGCTTTATTTTTTTCTTAATATACGTAGTATTCTTTGAGCAACACGATACTCAAGAACATGTTAATTTCTCGTAGAAAAATAGGGATTTTGCAGATGCCCCGCCCCCTTGGCCCACGACGAATAAAAAAAATCATCACAATTGAGAGTGTGGGTGGGCGGGGCTTCACTTTGCCTTTTTTTCTTAATATGTGTAAACTTACTTCGACAACAAGAAACTTAAAACATGTCTAGAATGAATGAATTAAGTTGAGACTTATAATATAATTCTTACCCGAGGCGGGGCCGAGTGTTCAAAAATAGATGAACATTTAGGGCGTTTAATATGAAAAAATAATTAAGTGACAGTTTTATTAATAATTTTCTCGATGATTCGGGATTATCAGTACAATGGTACAATTATCCCTGTTTTTAAACACGAGGCGAAGCCGAGAGTTGAAAAATATGGTACGCGTTTCAGATTTTGTTTAAAAAAGAGTAGGTATTCAAGATTTTTTCAAATTTGGATGATATAAGTTTTCAAGAAAAATTTTTATTTTTAGTTTTATGTTGTGAAAAGAAGTCTACACATGTTAAAACAAAAAGGCAAAATGCACGACCGAAATGTAGAACCGGAAATGACGTCAATTTTTTTTTATGGAACACTAGGTATATTTTTTCATAAATGGAAAGATTGATTTTTCGCAAAAAATTATAAGTAACCAACATTCTATAATCATATTTAAAGAGTTATTCAATAAAATAGACGAAATATTCATATTTGTTAATGACAATCTAATAGCTTGAAAAATTGACACTCATGTCATTTATTGACATAAGTGATCTTTTAAAATCATACAAATTTGCTCAAAGAACTATGTTTATCTTTAGAAAAAAAAAAAAAAAAATATAGAGTTTGTATCAAATAAAAGAAACACATGGTATGTATATTAAGAAAGAAAAAAAAAAAGGAAAATATAAACCCCGCCCACCCACCCTATCTCAATTGTGATCTTTTTTTTATTCTTAGAAACTTGAAACACGTTTAAGTTAATAAATTTTTGTAAGGAAATATGGATTTTGCAATTAAGCTCCACCCCTAGGTCTGCCAACGAATGAAAACTTCATTACTATTTACATCAGGGCAGGTATGGGTGTGGCTTAATCTTTGGTTTTAATTTTTTCTTAATATACATAGTATTCTTTGAGCAACACGATACCTAAAAACACGTTTTTAATTTCTCGCAGAGAAATACGGATTTTGAAGTTAAGCTCCGCCTTCTTGGCCCACTACGAATAAAAAAGATCATCACAATTGAGAGAGGGTGAGACAACAAGAAACTTAAAACATGTCTAAACATCAAAGTTACGATCAACGGCAACTTGGCAAAGGAGTTTATAAATTTTTGGCTCTAAAAGTAACATCATCGGCAACAGCAACTGCAACGGGAACTTCAACGTCAACAGCAAGTTTATAAATCCCACTTTATTCAAGAGTAATAATGAACCTGACAGAGTATATTTCCAAAGGATTTGTAGATGTAATTATTTATAAAACATGAGACATTAATTTTGATAGAAAGATCATTTTTGAAGCTTAAAATGCAGGTCATAAACGCTGTTACTTGAATTTTGGAAACTATTTCTTTAATTGTGGCCCACAGAAAAAAAATCCACAGGTGTAATGTAAAATTTGGACTTCTGAGCACTGTTGTGTTTAAACCATAAATTTGGTCCTATTTCCAAATTAACATTTTTTAGAAGTAACGTAAAAATGCCATTCAAATTGTCTCTAATTATATTTTGGGTTGCATCTTCTGCTTGGTTAGGCTCACTATTATTCACGAATCATCTTCTATATAAATATTAAATTCCTACTATAATGTTTAATGCAGCAAAACTGAGAAGTAGCTGTAGTAAAAGTGAAGAAGTTATACTTAAAAATAGAAAGCTGGAGGTGGCAGCGCTGGAGTGGCAACCGCCATCAAACGTATCTTTTATCGTACACCGTATTTCAGTCAACGTGGGAACCCTCGCAAAGAAATAAAACACTAAACCCTCCAGATAATTAAGAATTTTAAAACCAGAAAATGCTACGCGCAACCGCCTCCCCAGGAACCGCCGCATCCACTTACCTTTGTAGCCTCCTCACGCGTCGAGTATTTGGCAAGAGCGAAACCTTGGTGCAAATAGAGGTGGAAACTCTGCAAGGGACCGTGCTGCATGCAGAGTGTGCGTAAAGTCGACCCGTCAATCTGCAACCGGGTGCTATTAATCTCTCCTCGTCGGTCCCGCCCCCCAATCACATTCATATACGAACCTGAGCAGTCAAGTTGCGTAGGAGTAGCCACGGAGACCCGCCCCAGTTGCCGGAACCGCGCTGGCCGCCGCCCCACGACGCCGACGTCAGATTGCTAGACCATCCGTTGACGAGGGCGCCACCTTTGGCGGAAAGGCCCGGTGGCGGTCCGCGAGCGGCCTTGGGAGCACCCCACGGGTCCGAAGTGACGGCGGTCGTAGGGTTTAGGTCGCCCAGACCGCCTTTGGAGGAAGGCAGTTTGCTCTGTGGACTGGATTCCCTCAAAACGATTATATAAAAATGGAGAGACGCGCTCGGACTTACCTTGTGAAAGCGCTGGACGTCGAAGACGGCGGGTTGAAGCTCCAGGTCGAAGAGCTGAGACTCAAAGGTTGGATCGGATCCCCAGCTGGAGGACTTTTGTTGTTCGGATTCATGTTCAACACTTCGTTATCTTTTATGGTGGCGATGGAGAGCGACGAACGCACTATTGAACCGGGGGTAATACTGGGATCATCTTCGATTGACTTTATTTGATTGCCCTTTTGTAAACAAAGTAGGCGAGTTAGGGGGGTGGGGTTTGAGTGGGGGCGGTACGGTACCTTCCAGGGCTTTCCAGGTTCAAATTCAGGTACTAAATCAGACAAGGATGGTTGAGCAGACGTCGGCCATTGTGCGTCTTTACCATCGTTTGAAGAGTCTCCACCTCCGGATTCAGGCCAACCTCCATCGCCAATGCGACCGCTAGACCATGGTCTGTAAAGAAAATATAAAATGTTAATAAAAATTTGTAAGACAACAAAGATCAAGTTTTGTGCACTATGCAGATAAGAACAAAATCCTCAGATTGTTATTGAATAATCAAAGAAGATCATTAATTGGATCCGTTGTGATCATCACAGGATTAGTTCTTCATTTATTGCTATCATTAATAAGATAATTCACCAAATAGAACCATAATACTTGTGTATCAAGACCATGAGGAACTTTTCGGCCGTGGTCTACAAATCAGATGAGGTCGAAAAAGTTCTCTTAAAAGTATTCATAACGATGTTCAGTAAATGTGAGTTCAAAAACGGTGTTTCACGCTTTTTTTTATAAAAAAAAAAAAAAAATCTTGGTCAAAAACACAAGGCCAAGACGCAAAAGTAAGTTTTAGACATCCGAGTACAAAAAAGTGACACTTCATACACGTGATTTGGGGACGTAAAAGGACTAATTTGTAATGGTTGTCTAAAAATGAAGTTTTTAAGAACAAACCATACACATATCAGACCGGGTTTGGTAGCTGACGTCTAAATCGATTGTAATTTAGTTTTTAAAACGCCTACATTACACTAGAATCGCCGAATAGACGCAATAATAAAGTGCGTGATCAACGAATCAACTGCAGCCATGGTTAGAACACATGCCTTGAAGCCTCAATACGGCTTTGGCGCGGGCTGTTGCGACTTTCAAAATCACTGCCGAACGATAGTGATCCTAGTACATAAAACGCCATAGAAAATTTAAAACGAACACTGTGAAAGTAGGAAGGTTGCAAAGTATAATTTTGGGATTTAAAAATTGAAGATTACCTTTTTAGTCGGAAAATAAATTTCTTTATTACAATATATCAATCAATATAAAAAATTTCGGAAGGCATTTGCACCAATTGACAATCAAGATTTGTACAATCATCGTCAACACGTCTCGAGCGTAGGTGACCTTAAGACGAAACAACCTTTACCAGTAGTAACTTCTTTTGGAAAAGAATCTGTTCGTAATGCAATTCCAAAGAGACTATAATAGTTTCAAACAGTAGAACAAACCAATTGGATCATTCTGAATACTCACCCATCTGGTTGAGTAAGTCCTAACGGATTCATGTTCGGCGAGGTGGTCAAAGGTTTCGAGGATGAACCAACAGCTCGACTGAAGTTATCCCCTTCTTCTTTGTCTTTGTTGATCCACTGGTTGAGTCTAGACTGACTCTGATTCTGCAACAAAGCAAAACACAAAACGTCACTTCCAACCCACACTCAAGTCTCGACCGACGAAGCTCGGATCGCCCGTTCTTAACACAACCGACTTAAAAAATCCAACTCACCACTTGCTCTTTGATGCCTAGATCGGCGAAGTTGCTCTGTAGCGCGTTAATAGAATCATGCATCGGTGTGGCTGCCTTCAAAAAGTCAGATTGTCCGCCTATGCTGCCATGGTTCTGCTGTTTAACGTATATCGCTTGCTGCGCAGCAATTTGGTTTTGTAAATTCGTTATCTGCTGTTTCGTTTTCGTTATAAGTACCGAACATTGCAGCAAAGCGCTGTTCGGCTTGCCGTTGATGCATTGCGATTGAGCTACCGATTGTTGAGTCATCAGCTGTTGCAGTGTTTTGATCTGTTGCAACAGCTGGTTCAAGAGAATCAACGTTTGAGGCGCGAGCGGCTGGTTCAATATCTGGTGATTTAAATAGCCGGCTTGAACGGCCATCTGGATCTGTTGAACGAGCATTCGCAGTTGTTGTGTCGACGGCTGCGACTGCGGTTGCAAGTTTCTGCCGGCGGCTGAGGCAACGCCGAACCCTTGTGAGCCGCCACCGCCTTGGGTGAGCATCTTTTGCACCCCAGCGGGCGATATATTGTTGATTAGGGAGTTGCTGGGGCCGCCGGAGCTGTTCATGTTGTTAAGTAGATTGGGAGCATTGTTGCCCTGAAATGCTCCTTGCGAATTACTCGCGTTTACGTTTCGCCGTAGTACCTGTGGGAACGACATTTGTCCAGGAGGTCCCGAAGGGAACCTTTGTCCGGGAAATTGCTGATGGTCATAATGGTCGTCATGGCGATTTCTCCAACCGTCAGGGTTACGCGATAGTATTTCAAGCGCATCTTCGTAATTCATGTCGCCTCGTCTTAAAGCTGTCTCAACTTCTTCCTTCTATAATCACAAACAAGGATTACGGTGAAACAGTTCATCATGGCGCTTCCCAATATTTAACTTATTTTGATCCTGTACCAGTGGCAGGTAGAATCCCGCCTACGTACTGCGTATAATTACCTTATATCCCATATCCATCAGCATGCGGAAACACTTGGAATTCCAGATCATTTCTTTTGTGAGATTTTGTTTAGGACCTTGTTTGTGGCCCCAGTCAATTTCGTTGTCGCCCCACAAGTGGGCGCCTCCCATCTTTTGCTTGTTCCATGGGACGGTCTCGTCCCATCCCGGGCCGGATTCGTCCCATGAACCGTTACGTCCATGGCACCAAACAGAACCGTCTGGTTTGAGGCGAGATTGGGCCATTCCTGGTGGACCGGCAGTGCTGCCGCGTCCCATACTTGCCCCTGTGGGCAGATCTTTCCAGTGAGAGCCTATTGTAGGTGAAAAGCAAGATGAGTGCTCGTGAAAATGATGTGTATACGTGTAAGTGCTAAAGTGTTAAAACATGAATGTCGCTTGTTTGGAATACCAGAAACCCGTATAAATTTTATGTAATCCCATTATTACCCTGGAATGTTCAGCTTTTGTTTAGCGACCATATCTACAGGTACACATAAATCTACGAAAGGTCGGGCTCTAGGTTAACGTACGTGGGCCAGGTTAGGTACAATTATTAATCATATTACACACTCTGAAAATTTAATTTAATTTAGAACAAACTTATCAAACTTAAAACGACGACCGCTATGCAGATAAGCATAACGCGATTTTTTTCTGGCGTACTGTATGTCATAAGACCAGAAAATCGGCTCATACTTCACGATATTAAACTTTGGACAGTCTACGAAGTTTTGCGCAATTGAAATTATGAAAAGATGACGGTGTGACGAATAAGTGAACAAAAGAAGTTTTAAACTCAACGGAGTCAACGCTCACCTCTTTGATGTTTATTAGGATGTTCTCAGTGTAACTGAAAAAACGAGGGTAAATGAAGATATACTCAGGACAAAAAATCTAGTCCGAAGGTCAACAAAGTAGTAAATAATAACGGAAAAATTTTAATTTAAATCCTTTTCCTTATAAAAAATTATCAATAGAAACGACTGCAAAAGTCACTAATAAAATATTTTTTGAAGTAAGATGAGTGGTCAAAATTGAAACATTGAGATTTTACCATTGTGGAGATATAAAGTGTTTGCAAATCATTTAAGAATGTAAATATTCAAGGAATTCTTAGATTTCAAAGGTTTTGACTACAAATTTTCAAAATTTTCAGCAATTATAGAACTTCAGTGCTCAAATTTAGAAATTGAAGGATTTTTATTATTTTCAAAATAAATCTTTCAGATGCTCTAGAACTTTAAATGATAGGTTTTTTGGAAATTGTGGCTATTCTAAATATCAAAATTTTCCAGAAATTTTAGACATTTTGAAGGTTTTACATTGTTAGAAATTTGAGTACACAAATTTATATAATTTAAGATGTTCTACAATTTTACACATTCCACAAATTCTAGAAGTTTTATAATTTAAAGATATTCTAGAAATCTTAAATATCTAGAATAAGTTGCAAACATATAACAACTAATATCTAAGATATTTTAGAATTTTGAAAATTTTAGAGATTCTAAATTTAGGACGTTTTTTAATTTTACAGGTTCTAAAAATATTCCGATTCCGGAATTTTAGACATCCTCGAGATTCTATAGATTGTAAAAGTTACAGAAATTTCAGGGACTATAGAGCTTTATAATTTATAGGCATTGATAAGAATTTCAGGTTATAACATTATAGAACTGTTAGATATTTTAAAAACTATAGTTGAGCTTGTGTTGGCAGTTTTAAACCTTTCAGAAACTTTGTAACATAACTTGTGGAAATTCTAAAACTTCCCAATTTTGAACACCCTGGAAATGCTAAAATTAATAGACAGGATTGCAAAACTAATTAATTTTTTATGCAAAAACTAAAAATTTTTAGACGGAAGTGTTTCGGCGCCTTTTTTTTTAGATCAGGTGAGTGGTCAAAGTTCCTTCCAGTTCCTTTTTGAAACATTTTACAGATTTTGCCATTGTCGATATACAGGGTCTGCACATTTTAGAAATTTTGAAAATTCAACACATTCAAATCATTTATTATTTTTATTATTAAATTTTCAAAATTTCTGTGAACTAGAACTTAAACATTCAAATTTAGAAATTGAAGGAGTTTTATAATTTTCAAAATAAACACATGCTCTTATAACTTTAAATGTTAGGATTTTTGGAAATTGTACAAATATCAAACTTCAGAGATTTTAGGCATTTTGTATATTTTAAGATTTCTACAAAATTTGGCCATTTAAAATATTTAATATGTTAGAGATTATGGAGATTTCATAGATGCAATCAACTTTAGAGGTGTTCAAAATTTAAAAGAAAGTGAGTATAGAAATTTAAGATGTTCTATAATTTTAGAAATACATACTGTAAAGATTTTCAGATTCCAGAACATTAAACTTACAGGATTTTGAAGTTTCTAGATATTTTTGGGTGTTTGCGAGTTGGAGATATTTAGAAAAATTTGAAGATTTTGGGCATTTTTGGAAATATATGCTTTTTTCCAAATGTTCTGGAGTTGTTCTAGAAATCTCAAAAATAGAAATAAGGTTATTTCGTAGTTTGTTGGGTTGTAGATTAACTTTGAAATCCTTTAAACTTTTTTAAGATACCAGAAATTCTAGAAATTTTGTATTTTTATAGATTATAGAAATTTCAAAAATTTAGAACCGTTGAAAAATTTTAACAATGGAAAACCATAAGACATTTTAGAAAATTAAAAATTCTCGAGACTCTTAAAACGTGGAAATTTAAAATGTCTTTTAATTTTGGATTCTACAAATATTGCGATTCCAAAATTTTAGCCATTCTGGAGAATATGTAGTTTGTAAAAGTTACACAAACTTCACAGACCACAAAGCTTTATAAATTACAGCCATTGATATATTTTGAGGTTATAAAAATGATAAAACTTTCGGAGATTTTTAACCACACAAAAATTTAAATATTCAGCAGATTTTATAATTTCAGATATCTTAAAAAGAGCTTGCAACGTGTTGTCAGATTGGAAATTCTGCAAATTACATGTTTTGAGTCTTTCAGAAACGTCACAACTTTCATAAATTTCAGATTTTACACATGGTAATAGTAATTAACTTTGTGTGCAAAAGCCACCAATAAAATATTTTTTGACGTAGGTGTTTAGGCGCCTGTTCGAAGTTCCTCCAGTTCAAAATTAACATTTCCGCCAAGCAACAGATATTTTTTAAATCCACAATATCAAATACCTTTCACCCAAGTGTCACGTTCCCATTTTTATTTCTAAAGCAGTGCCGTATTCATAAATGTGTTATCCCAAGCGCAAAAATTTACCGCCCTGTAATTTAAACGTCACTCAATATATCAAACACAATCTGAAAGTAATGTAATTTCTTATCGTGTTTCGTGAGTTGGTTTCGGTATTCTGATCATATTTCATGTACGTTTGTGTAAATACAAATTCGTGGTTGAATTGTAAATTCGAAATCTTTCTGGAAATCCTACTTGACCTGGACAAATCGTATGATTTTTTTAAATTATAATTAATGAAGTTAACAGAACTTGTTAGTAGTTGCCCTCGCTGCGTAAGTGAGGGAATTAAATATGTAGTGTGTATTTTCTAAATACCAAACTTGAATTGGAACATAAAAGAATCGAAATTCTAACGTAAACAATTCCGAAGAAATGTAAGTGTAACAAACTGGTTCCGTTCAGTGCCGCACCCACATTCTAAAATTTAAATACGAAACAGATATTTAATTTTCTCTTTCCAGTCCCGACATTTTCGAGAAAAATACTGTAACTCATAGCAACCGTAAACCGACCTTGGTCACTCCACATCCTAACCTGCACCACGTAGTCCTCGAACCTCGAACCCGCCCTTCCGCGCCATCTACTCAAAACAACCATCCCAACACCCACCCACCAAAACCACCAAAAATACCTTGCTGAGGATTGCCCCACAGCGACGTCCCGTCGTCGTAGTTCGGCATATTGCGCCTCTGCGTCGGCGGCGACGGTTCCTCCCATCCCGCGCCGTTGCCGGGTCCCACCGGCATCTTGCTCTGGTGATGCATGTGCTGGGCGCCTGTGTGTGGTCCTGCTTGTCCCCAGAACGCGTCGGCCCCGGCGCCGTTCAGTCTTCCTGTAATTCCTCTCGGGTCGCCTCTCATGTCGCTTCCCGCCAGTCTCATCTGCTCCCGCGGGTCTAACAGGCGCATCGGATCCGAGCTGCCCGCTCGCATGTCCCGCAGGTCCGGACGCATGTCCCTCGGGTCCATCGCCGCAGCGCGCGGGTCGGCCGTCCGCGGGTCGCCCCAGCCCGGATTGCCGGTGGCCGCGCCCCACTCAGTCTCCTTCTTCGGCCCGCCCCACATGGCACCGCTGTTGGCGGTGTTGCCCCACTGCTGTTGGCCGGACGGCACGCCGGTCCACACGTTGGAGCTGTCTGTGTCGTCGTCCTCGCCCCAGGTGCCGCCGATGTTGGTGGACGGGGTGTGACCCCACGGGGTTTTCTGTTGGGGCTGCGGGGGCGGCTGGCCGCCGTTGCGCAAGTTGGCTTCCCACAGTTCGGTGCCGTTGTTGATCGCCGGCTTCCATGGCGGCGGGCCCGAGCCGTCCATTTTCATGGGCGGCTCTGGGCTGCCCGGGATGTCCCAGTTCGTGTCTTGGTTGACGTGTTGCTGTGGGGGATTACAATGTGATGCGGCTAAATTAAATTTACGTGGCAAGTACTTACGCCTCCCCAACCGTCCTGGCTGAAGATGGCTTCCCTCATGTTGTTCAATTGTTCAAGTTGCTGTTTGGTTGACGTGGTCGTGTTCGGTTGGGTGCTGGTATTCGGCGGTTTACCAGTGGAGGTCGAGGTCGTGGGTTGGGGTCCGCTGTTGCTGGCGGCTGGTTTTGTTCCCGGCTGGCCCCAACTGGAATTGTTCGGCTGAGAAGAGGGCGTTTGCTGCTGTCCATTCGAATTGAGATTAGAATTAGCCTTGTTGGCTGTAACGAGATAATCCGTAAATTAAATGATAAGATGCAAAAAGTGACGTCGAATTACCATCTTGTGTAGGTCCCTGGTTTGAGGTTGGTGGTCGATTAGCGTTATTGTTCCATTGCTGAGTGCCTGTATTGTTTTGATTTGCAGGATTGGCTGTTCCCCAGCCGCTCGTAGTGTTAGCTGGAGATAAACAAATTAGATAATTACGGGTGAGTTATAAGACTTGTACAAAACACGTGCAGAGAGAAAAATGCCGTTTCTATTTGTAGTAACAAAAGAATGTTAATGCAGCCTCGGTATCCGTTGCTTACGGGTGGAGTGCACAGAACGTCACTGGCGCATTTTTGGCACGCTCGTATGGACACTCGGTGTGCAAAAAGTGCCAACAACCCAGAGTCTTTTTTGCTATTTTATTATAGCGACTTTTTCGTACGTCAACTTTGCAAACACTGTTCCTGAAAAATTCTCCACAAACGGATAAAATTAAACATGACACAGAGCTTTGCTTTGTTTAGAGCTTGGAGCTCGAGGTTTTACAGCAAAACATACGACTTTAGTTGCACAGAAGAGTTCTTCCGCTTTTATTTATATATGTACCCGATTTTTTGCTCTTTATTTGCCTTTAAAAGTTATTAAACGGTAAAAAACAAATACCATCCTCTGACAAAATGCAGAGAGATGGAATTATTTCGCTTTTAAGGAGGACGCAATAAAGCTTATTTCTATTATGCAATTTATTTTATTTAGCATTACGAAATATCATTAAAGACACCTTCCTTGAGTACTCCTAGCGAAACTCTACGCAAATGGAGGTTGTTGTCATTGCCATCAAATTGAATGTAATTACGAAATAAAATAATGGCAGTTCTTTGAACCCTATTAAATCGCAAAAATGATTGAACAAATGTATGAATTTTAATACCACAGTTCATCGATAACGATTTTATATTGAATAACATGCATGATATTTTTGTCTAGATGGTAACATTACCAATAAAATAAAATATAGAAATTATCGCTTTTTTGATTTATTAACGTACAGTGAGTATAAGTGTAGCACAAATTCGCGATAAAAAACACCAACTTTGACGAAATTGTATTTTTAATTTAAGTGTTTATTCTATCCTTATCAATTGTTTTTACACTTATTTTTGTACATTTTAATGTATCAATAAAATTACGAAACACCAAGTTACTTGAAAGTTGTCGTGTGTATAAAAAATTAATTACATAAACATACATAGATAAATTAATAAAATATACCTACACTACTCAAAATACAGATAATTAACAAATCAAAATAAACAAAACTTAGATAATCACTGAGAATTATTATTATAATATCAACATCAATCGAACATTACAACACTTCCAAAGTCACAAATTTATCACAGAGAAATCGTTAATATGAAAAAACAAACCTTTGCAGATACCTTCAAATTTTGTTATTTTGAACAACCAAAAATGTCTGCTATGTAAAAGGGATTTCAGTATTTTAGAGTCGTTGGAAAGAAATTAACATGAAATTTGTTGCTAGATTCCTGATACTGACCAAAATTTTCAAAATAACGCAGACTACTACGACTACAAAACAAATACGACATCAAGTTTTCAAGCTATCAATTACAAAGCTTAAAAAGTTAGGTTATGATTGACATTTATGACATGAGGGATCATCCATCGTCACAACGAGGCGGCAAAATCCACGAAACTTCAAAGCCGACTTGATGTACGATCTTTTAAAATCACCTTGCATTATTACTCTGAAATATATACGATTTGCATTATTATCATCAAAATTACAAGCAATCTGTACGAATTGATGTAATTAAGACACTATGCTAACCATTTTTGCATGTTTTTACATAATATTTGCATACTTTTCCAAGTTCGACGAATTTTGTCGAGTTATTTTGTTATTGTAACTTAAAAAATTATACTTTCTTAAAAAGTAGTGCGACTCTGAAGTGCCCATCGTTAAGATACTTATAAACTCAGTTTTATCAAATCAAACACTGTAATCACCGTCTACTTAAGTTAGAATGTAAGAAACAAAATGCGTCATAAGCTGGGGACACAACTTCACAAAACTTTACGACCTGTGTATGGTCGTTTTCGTGGCCTACTAAATGAAAAGTGACTTTTACATGGCCTGCTCATTTTTGAAACATGTATTGGCTTTTCGGTGACCATAAATCAAAATTTGATGCTAATACGTGAAAATTAATGCATACCAGGACAGTTAAAAATCACAATTCAGACATGCACAATTTTTTTTACACGAGACCTGTCATGATCTCTTCCTTTCCTCTCTCCCATTTTTGAAAACTGCGTTTCAGTAATGTATGCGTCTTAAGACCAACACTGTTGACGTTCAAACCCATCAATAATTTTAAATTTTTGGACCAAAGGCCAGCTTACACGTACCAAGTCATGCTTGCTTACGTGTAAGTTGGCCTTTAGTGGATGCGAATTTTGTTCTTACCGTTATTATTACTGGCCTGTTGAGAAGGTGGGGTGCCCCAGCCAGAAGTGCCTGTGCTTAGCGAGCTCTCGCCGCCGCCCCTTAATCTCAAAGGGGCCGCATAGTTCTCGCTTGTGCGCTGAGCATGGGGCCCGCGGCACGTTTCATCGCAGTGATAGTCGTTGTTATCGCAGCTAGTTGCAGTACTACCGGTGAGGTTCTTCAGTGCATTGAGGTCGAGTACTTCGAGGTCATCAGACTTTTGGTTGGGAATGTCTCGTCCGAGGGGTAAAGCACCAAACTTACTATCTAACTTATCGCTATTATTGTGGGCGACCTTGCAGTGGTCTTTACGTTGTATTTTTGGTACGGTAACAGAGTTCAGAAGACAGTTTTCGGTCACAGATTGCATTCTAATATTAGAGTTGCCGTATGAACGGCAACTTGAGCCGTTTATCACAGATGAGGCGCCGATTTCGACGCAGGGTGGGCTCGGGGGATCGGCTCGACCCCCCCAAGCTGCCCGAGCGACTTGTACTGGGGGTGCGCTGCCCCTCATGGCTGACACTTGAGGCACTTGGTAGGTAGGAAATGTAGACTTCGGCTCGGAGGGGGTGGGGGCGCGCATCGTCACTAGTGCTCCATATCAGTCTGGCCAGCCAGAGATCTGTAACAGAGATAAAAATACTGTCAAAACAATCATCAATCAGATATTGACTATTTAAATACTATTCAGTTTAAAGGTGTTTTATTCGTATCTTGCAGAATAGAATTGCACACATTTCTGACGCAAGTGTGTTCGGAATACGAGGTACTTATTTGTTAAAAAAATATTGGACGGGTCAAACTACCAACAAATGTCAAGGAAAAACTAAAATGCTAGAATTTCGACAAAATTGCTACGTCGCGTCGAAAGATACTTAACATTTGTCATATTTATGTCTGGCTATTATGTACATTCTGTTCCATTTCAACGAAAGATAAATGTCGCAAAAAAATCAAACACAACAAAATAAATTTCTCTATCAATATTAATTTTTTACTTCGTACACACACGTACAGCTTCAAAGTTATTTATGCCATGGGTGCCGAGAATCCATGTAACACGCATGGAACGATGCATACAAGTGAGTCATGTTATGCGATTGTGGATAAGGATAATAATATCAATTCCTGTGACGCCTTTATCTGTGAATAAATAAATAATAGTCAGAAATATGTGGATGACAATAGAGTTATCACTAAATGATTGATGTATATCTGGGAATTTTTAAAACAAATTTACCACAATCAATAAAGTTCGTGCCGGTTTTATTTAAAATTCTAAAAGCGCAACATTACGAAATCTTTTATTAAACAATCACTTAATGCAGAAGTGCTGCAATCAATTTTTGAAGTTCCTTAAATTTGTGACTATGCAATTTATTTCAATTACGGTTGTACTTCTGAAATAATTTGTCAGGCTTTCAACGCTTTAGAGAATTAATTGCAAATGAAATATGATAGTTGCTAACTCTATTGTTAAGGTACTTCTAATTATCCCTGAAAAATGAGGTTTGCAGAGTGTTAATCGACTGGCGATGTTGTCAATGTCTTTTTTCTTACGCATGAAACAAATACGGTTTAGGTCAATCAAAAGATTCATTACACTATTAATTGTAATCACCGTCCACTAACATTATCTATATAGGTGGTACAAAAAAAGTGAAAAATATTGATTCAGATTAGATTACAACGTGTTAAAAATTAAAACATTTATTTCCCCCAAAAATTGATGACGTCACCTGCTTCTGGTTTATTCCACTCTCATTTTTAATTTTACACTCAGACGTTATTCCGAGAACCGAAAACGAATTTCTTTGAAACTTTGGTAGGATGCCAACAGTGACTATGGATTATCAAACAGAAGAATATTCACGATAGCTGATAAATAAATCAATATGGAAGCTACATCTTGAGATTGGGTGCCGCTTGTGTTGTCAGTGATAAGCATTTATTTTTAGAAATGATTACAATGTTGCCTTAAGACAATTACCGTTATCGAGCGATTAGTGTTACATTGTACCCATTAAAATTAACAAACATACATAATTTATTAATGGCGCTTGAAACACCCAAGGCAAACTAGAGGCTCCATTTTCCACAACAATGTCGGAACAACCGTTCCGACAAAAACACGTGATCTACCTCAACGCATTCATAATCTCTTTACAATGTAAATACGTCCTTTCTTTCGTCCACCTGCTACTTGCTCTTCCAGTTTCTAGAATTTTCTAAACTCTTTCTTTACCGAATCTACCTGTCGACAATTTCAAAACACCCTTCCAACTTGTTCCTCGTGTTCGCAAACCGTAAGCAACCAACAAAAATCTGTAAACCGTAACCGTCGCGATTTCTCAAAATCACCAACGATATCCACAACAATATAACGTCATTGATCAACCTATACTTTGTTTACCGAAGAGATGGAGTTGTAAAAGTGACTCATCTCCACGTGATTGTTAAAACCTTACTTTGCTATCGAATGGAAAACGAAGTCGAACCTCGGATTATAAATCTGAAGAATCAGATTTCGATTCAACATTTAGGTTCACCAATAGTGGAGGATTAATTTTCTTAATTGTAAACAAAAGTTTTAATCAGAATAAAATTAAATCTTTATTTCCCGAGCATAAGTAATAGGATGCATTCGATGTGTTATGACTTCTAGAGTATGAAATAATAGGACGCCCGTTTTCTTTGTCAGGATTTTTTAAGACAGATTGTTGTTAAATTTTAGATTAAGTAGTATCTCTATTATTGATGGAAATTTCGTAACGCAGTTTTCATTACTGTTTTTAGCTTAAAAAACTCTATAATTATTCGGATAACACTGGCAATTTTTTTGTCGGAAATAAGATACTCTAAAAAATAAATCAACAACGTTTTCCACATAATGTATAGAGCTTTGAAAAATGTCACCAAAACTTTAAAAAGAATAAAGATAGTAAAATGGTTAAAAAAAATGCCCATGGGTTATCTAGAGTGACTTTTGGTCAATTTATATTTAAAATTTCATACCAATAAGTGTATTAATAACGGATATATTACATTCTGAAAATGTAATGAGCACCTCCTTAAGTATTATACATTATCATTTATAATTAAGTTGGTTTTGTATACCAAATCGTTCATTAGTTTACCACAAAACTTGACATTTTTACTGTCAACTTGAAGTGCTTTTTACTTAATTTAAAAATTTAAAACTTATTATTAAGTGATAAGCATATCCGCAATGACAATTTAAGTCGGTTTGAATACCGTGCTACTGTTTATCATAATAATAAATAAATTTACATCAAAATAATGGTTTCTTTGTATTATTTAAATTTTTATGAGCAACATTTTGGGCCATACTGTATGTTAATTCAAAAACAAGGAATATAAGAATCAATTTTACACAAGCTAAAATATTTTCAAACATCCCGCTGATGGTTTTTTAATGTGTTTAAATTTTTTAGACACGTGATCACTCCATCTGTTCGGTAAATGAACTGTAGAAGGCGGCTTTTAAAAACTCGGGCATTTCTACATTCTGTAAACAGATGTTTCTTTGAGCCCCCTTTATAGTTAATAAATTTAGTTATAATAATTCTTCATCACAATCATATATTGCAAAGAAACTATTGTTTAACACTAGAATTGTAAATTATGGACAAATTCCATACAATGAAAATACAGTAGCGCAGTTAGTCGAAACGATACACCCTCGCCGCAGAGGCTTGAAAAATATTTGATGACGTCACATCGTCGCCATAGCAATGGCGGAAAATGAAGCTTCTAATCTAATTCGCCCTACAAAAAATCTTTCACCCAATTTTCTACCACTTTTACGGCTACAAAACAAACGCGATAAACACAACCAAAATACAGGAAATTCGTTCATATCGACGTGTTCTTCTCAAAAGAATGAGTTTCAGTGGTAAATATACGAACCCTGGCAACTCGATTTCTGCACCAACATTACTCTGATTACGAGTGCAACTCCCCACATCTTTGTTCTTATCTTATCGCTGAGCAAACAAACGGCGACGGCTCCCGATCGTACAGGGAAAATTTTTCGGTTTTTTGGAAATGGACGATCCGATTCGAGATATTTCTAGAAAATGCAGCGAATGCGACAACCACCTACATTACCGTCACCGCAGTTTAATAATAGACATGAAGATTATTTTGAAGCATTGTGCAAACACGCGAGTAGGCGGCGGTGGATTGCTTTGGAGAAAATTCGCGTTGCCAACCTGAAAAACGAATTGTCGGTGTGCAGGTCTTAAGGATCCAGATCGGGTTGTTTGTTGTCAATCTTGGCAAGTTTGTTGCGGCTGCGAGGCTCCGAGCGATCGATAAAAGAAAACGAGAAAGTTTGGGTTCGGGTACCCAGCGCCGGAATGTTTGGGTTGCGGCGTAATGGGCGTGTTTATGTGCGAGTTAATGGTCGAATTCATCGGCCGTAACAATACCAAATAATAACAATAATCATAAAAAACGCCAATAAATATTGAACTTACACACAAATATGGACGCCCGTGGAACAACTAGCCAAGTTGGTAGAGGGGAGCATCAGAACGCTTGAGAAACTTCACACAAGTCATTATTATTATTATCCAATACGCACTAAACTGATTCGCCTTCACAGTCAGAAAGTTGGTGAATTATCACACGAACAAATGAGAATACTAAATATCACAATTATTTCAATAATTTGGCGTTAAATACTTGTATTATACGGGCACCACAGATTTGTTTATTGATCCGCAATTACGTGGCAGGGCTGCCTTCACTCTACGACCGCTGCTCGGTCCGCTCCGGCGACGTTCGGTTTTGGAAAGCGTGCAGAGCAGTGTTGCCAGATGGACTCGACCGAGTGTCGGAGCCCGACACAACTACAACAACAAAATATATCACACATTTTCATCGACGTTTTCCGGGCAACGTTTGACAGATAGAAATTTCTTTAATGACGTAGAGGAATCTCCTTTTATAAAAATGTCATTGACTTTCAATGGATTTATCGCCAAACATATTTTGCTGAATAGTATATTTTACACAGAACGTTAATAATGAACTTATCCCGGAGAAAAATTCGCCAATGGGATCGAGAACCATACTCGGCCTACGAAGTTCCCCGAGATCCTATAATTCATGTTTCACTGTATTAAATTTTACAATATAAATTTAAATCTTTGGTTTTTAGTGTACGTTTAAATCAATTACTTGGGGTTATCCTTGATGCGTTTTTCAGTACAGGGTCAAAGCCGAACCGGTTTTTGTTTTTCTGTAATTTTAATCTTTTGGATCTGAAATTGGAGTTTCGGCTTCTTTTTATTGTAATTTTTCATTGACATTTCCAAGTTTAAAACTACGTTTTAGCTGAAGATGTGTATGAGTTAAAAAAAGGTGATCTAAGGTTATCTAGACAGAACTTCCCTCATTTCTAAGTACAGTACAAGATATTAAGCTTTTTAGAAAAATTATGAAATTTGATTTTGCCAATTTTATTTTTTTATGATAACCCTTATAAGTGGGACTATAGCCAATTACAGGAAAAACAGAAATGGAAACTGAACACGATTAAAAATTAACAATTACAATTACAAAAGTAAAACTAAGAATGATTGCATAACACAATTAATAATTTTACTGATTGAGTCGAAATTAATACCACATAAGTGTGAAATTTGATTGAAATAACTGCGATTTTTTTTGCACGATTTCAGAGTATTCGGTGTTGTAGTTTCAAAGTTGTATTGTATTGTAATGTGTTTTTTTTAACCTGGATGTCTAGGGTAAAAAATTAAGATGGATTCATAAACCACAAGTAGTGGACGTCATCACATTAGTATCATGATGTTTTGTATAATTTCCGGTTGTCAGCTATTAAAATCGACATTTTTAATTTGCAAAATTTAATCTAAATTTATCGCATGTCGCGATTGACATCTGTCACAAAATTACTTAAACATAATACAACATAAGGGCAAGAAAAGTTCACATTTTTGTTTAAAAAGTACTGGCAACAGACTCAGTCATTTCTGATTATGCGGTATCATAAAATATAGTAATGGAGTCCATCGGGCGACTTGCCAATTTCATGTTTTCTTGATGTTTTATGAAAGTACAAAAAACGTGATCTCCCGTTTCCGTCTGTCTTTCGTTCGTACCGATTTTTATAAGACACGTATTTTCCGAAACTACTGGATCGATTGTTGTCAAATTTTGTACGTATATTAAGAATATCATATAGATGCTAAAACGCTAACCAAAATTTGGCCAGTCAGGCAATAATTTTATAAAATAAGGTGCTCGTTCACTTGTTGAGCTTTCACCCGACATCCAGATTTTTGGGAAAAAAAATCAAAATTTTATAACATTTTGTAGTTTAATTTTGAATCTACGAAATCGAATGCTTTGAAATCTTGCAGAAGTTTTAAAATAATCGTGCGAATGGTAAATTCCTAATAAATCCTATTGAAGATGTACAAAATGTGATGAAGTGATCACAAAACTTTCTAAAACAAAAACTTATTTGAAATATACGCTTCTTTATATTTACTTTAACATTACATAAATATCTCTATTTTAACTTACTAGGGGTTCACAAAAAACAATAAATAAAATTCGCAAAATCAAATTTTACGAGTTTTCAAAAATGATGGATGTCTTATTGTACTTCAAGGGCGAGGGAAGATCTGTCGGAATAACCTTGGACTAATTTTTTTTAACCCATACGCATCTGCGGCTAAAATTGAGTGAAAGGTAGTCTCAGTCTAAAAATGACAAATGAGGAATTAAAAAGAAAGTTTTACTTCTGAGTTTGTTGAAATATTAGATTTTCCCGTTTTTTAAAACAGAATTCAGTTCCCATTTTACAGTAAATAATGTAAGTCAGTGAAATGGACAAAAGAGATAGGGGGGAGGGGCTGGGTTCAGGTTTTTCTACACATCTTCTTCATTCTAGTGACTACTCTTGATATTGTTCAGTTTTATTTTAGCAAATACTAGCTCCGCCCACCCGCCCTCTATTTTATTAGAAGGTATGTCATTTGCCCACCCACCCGCTCTTTATTTTCTTAGAGGCTATGCCATACACTCTAAGAAAATAGAAAGCAGATGGACGGCACTAATATTTGCTTAGGTAAGACCGCACAATAATAAGAGTAGTCACTGGAATGACGAGGGGATCTGCAGGCGGAGCTACTGCTTGCTTATAAGACTCTTAAAAAAATCAACTCAACTCCGCCCACCTTTTTCTTTGTTTCACTGTACAGTAGGGACTGAATTCTAATTTAACAAGCGGTAGGATCTAAGATTTAAAACAACGTAAAAAATGGCTCCTCCCACCCACCCCTATTCTGTTTTGATCGTTCATTCTTGTTGGCTCTGAAGAAAGCATTTCACGAGTTTTAAATTTTTAATTATTCACTTTTCGATTTTTCAATTATTGACGTCTCCAATTTGTCCACCTGCATTTCTTCAATTTTTAATATATTTCTTTGTTAGTATTTGCTAAGATAAAACTGATTTTGGCAAATGACATACCCGCTATGAACAGAGAGGGCGGGTGGGCGGCCCTAGTACATGCTAAGATAAGACTAATTTTGGTAAATGACACACTCTAAGAAAATAGTGGTCGGGAATAGTATTTGCTAAAATAAGACTGCACAAAAATAAGAATAGTCACTGGAATGACGAGCGGCTCAGTGGGCGGGGCTACTGCTTGCTTACAAGATTCTTAAGAAAAAAGCTAAACTCAGCTCCGCCCACATTTTTCGCTATTTCACTGGCTTAGTTTATTTACTGTACAGTGGGAATTGAATTCTATTGTGACAAGCGGAAAATCTAAGATTTAAAACAAAGTCAAAAGTGTCCAGTTCACCCGCCCATCCTCTATTTTCTTACAGAGTATATCATTTGCCAAAATCACTCCTATCTTTACAAATATTAGCCCCACCCACCCGCCCTTTATTTCCTTAGAGGATATGTCATTTGCCAAAATTAGTCGTATCTTAGGAAGTGCTAGCCCCGCCCACCCGCCCTCTATTTTCTTAGAAGGTATGTCATTTACCAAAATCAGTCTTATCTTTACAAATATTAGTTTCGCTCGGGCACTATTTAAAACTTCTTATTGTTTCACTTTTTTAAAAAGCTTACTGTGAGAACGGTTTGGATTGGAAATCTTCGAAATTTTGTTAGATCTGTGGGAGTATCAGCCTCAATTTGTGTGTTGACTGTAGAAGACGAATATTAAAAATCTTTGCTCAAAACAAAATTTTCTACTAAATTTAGTGCAAAAAGAAGATTAATGAAATGTCCAAAAATGAATTACTCATCAATAAATCGACCGCAAAACTTTGTAAATCTTAAAAAGCATTTATAAAATATCAAAATCTCTAAAAATTAATGTTAAACCCACACCCTCAGTCGTTCAATGCTGAACAAAGCCGTATAAATCTACTCTTTAATAAATTTAACTGTGGTGTCTGTTAGGGTTGTGTCCAGTGATGAATATGAATTTGTTCGAATGTAAGGTGATATTTAGTTGACTTTCTACTATTTGAACTTGTTGGGAGTGAATCTGACTATTTTTCTGAAACAGTTCTGGTACGTATGTAAATTTTAAAGTGGGATCCATCACCTGTTACGAACTTTTACTAGCCTAAATTAAACAAAAAAAACTATACAATATTACAAGTGTATGAAAATAAAAGTGTTTTTCATCACTTTTTAACCACAATTTAAAACATCAACTAATGATTACGTTTGTAGAATGACCTTGAGCACCTAACAAAGTCTAAAACTGTCAACTATCTGAACGATGTAACTGTCACATTGCTTTGACGTAAAGTTTAATTATTATTATTACTATTGTTTTATATTAAACACCAATAAACCTATAATTAAGTTAACGTTGACGTTGAATGTGAACACAAACGTCATTCGTGAGTAATCACGCTTTGTTTACGTTTTATGTGCAAGAACCATCAATATTAAATATCGGAAAACTGCCAATTTCATTGAATATCAATTTTACAACTTCCTACTTAAAAACCCCCGAAACAGAATAAGAAATTCCCCCAATTTGCCATTTCGGAGCACCAAAATCGATAAATCGTCGACCGCAGCTCGAAATCGGCGCACCTACCGAAAAGCGGCTAGATCCGGCAACACTGGTGCAGCGCGGAAGGTGATTTCGATAAACAGGCGGCAGCGGCGGGGCGCCGGGGGGGACGCCGGGGGCCGCTCGACCACGACAAGACACCGACGCTTCGCGGAATGCAACGTAAATAAAAACAAACCGGCCACCGTTAAATGTCGATCGTACCGCTGCGGGCGAAAATGGCACCTAGCCACGACTGGGGGCGGCGAGCCGATCGCCTTCGCACGGGACAGATATCGCGTCGGAGACGGCGTCCGAGGTAACTGTTGTGCTTCGCTCTCCTGAATAATCGACGACGCCGTCGCCGCCGCCACCGCCGCGCGCCCTGACCCAATTTCCCTCACAACTAGGGAAAAGGGATAAGGTCAGGTCGCACCGGGAAGATCGAAGGGTACGCAAGGCCGAAGCTGTTGTCTGGTTGTGACCTCAACTTGGCCGAAATTAAATGGGTCACATGCACCGGCGAATACGACGAGGGAGCCGCCGGAGGAAGAGGCGATCATCACGTATTTCCGAGTTCCGGCCGCCGGGAGGCGGCCGATGCGCCGAGGGGCGGCCATTGCACGGGACCGGTGCGAGTTTTTTATTCATGTTATGTAATGGCGGAAAACAAGTTGCACGTTTTTTAGGTGCATGCCAACTGCGCTGATTCGGGGTCTTTTACATTGTGAGGAAGAAGAAACCGCGCCGACATGGGTTTTGTGGTTTAATAATCTTGGAACGTAA